TGGCACAATGCATTTGCTAACCGTGTTGCATTAAATCATCCAAATATTGTGAAATTGGCGGAGAAAATTCGTCGTGAACAATCAAAATTTGAAGTGGACATGACGAAGATTCTTCAAGGTCACAATATTAAGACGAAAAAGGCCTACTACCGAAAATTGGACGAACGCATTAATCGACTGGTCAACGGATTCGACGCATCCCAACTGGATGAATTCTTAAAAAATATGGCAGCCTATGTTACTCTTTAGGTATTTTTTTTTCTTTAGATTATTTTCTTTTTGGTTTTTCTCTGTTTTTTGTTTTGAATTTGTTCATCATTATTTTTGTATTCTGTGCAAAATAAATATGAACGAACTCATCAATTTTACATCTTTCATTAAAAAAAAAATAATTAAGAGGTATATGCAACGAATGGATAGTGATGAGCATAGGGAAAAAATTTTTTCTGCAACGAATAGAACGAAAGAAATTTATCTGCGACGAACAGAAAGAAAAAAATTCTGCGACGAAGTGTCGTGCGACGAAGTGATCGATCACTCATCTGTCTCATTCGAAATTTAATAAATTGTTGAATTTTATGCACGTTGAAATAGTTCGATCGCAACTAATGTACATCGAAAACCGATAAACTGGATAGATTTTTGTTACTATTTTGGTCAAATAACTGATTCACTTGTATGATGAACTAGGGTGTGGGTGTGGGGTGTGGATGTGAGCGTGTGGGTGCTCGTCTGTTGTCTATATCACTCCGGCACTCAAACCCACATCTTCTCAATAGTCTTTAAAAACTATATTGATAACATTTCAGTTTATTTTATATTACATTCAAACATCTATGAAGGCGTATTATTGAAAAATGGTAAAATATTTAGAAAAAAGAATTCTTTATTCGGAGCATGTTCAGAATCCTCATGACGTGTATGGCAAGTAAACATGTGCAATTTGCCTTGTTCACGCAATGTCCGCATTCCGATGAGATCGTCTGTGAATTGGCGTGACTGATTGAAAGTTTCAGGTATCAATGATTTTGATGCATAGCCCAGAAACCAACCAGATTGTGGTGGTGTCAAAACTTCATCTATATCTGAATAGACCATAACAAATGCATTGAGCTTGAGCATATTCGTACGATAGGTTTCATTGCGAGCTTCACGTTCATTATTAATGTCAGGAAGAAAATGACTTCGATTTATGTATTTTTCCAGTTGAAAAGGATCACGCCAGAAGCCTGCAACGCTAATCATATTTTGAACAAAATCTTCATAGGCATATTTTGAAACTAATTCCCAAAATTGAGGAGGGAGCAACTTAATGGGAGGATCACCAAAAACACCTTGATGAATACCAACCATAGTAATCAAATTGAAAACAGGCAACGAACATCGTTCGACGGCTGCTCTAACAATCAAACTACCTTGTGATATTCCGAGCATGTTAAAGCCTTCATGCAGATGTTCATCAGCAAGAATAGTAGCACAAAATAGTTCTACTTGTTTATTCATTGGTAATAAAAATGAATCTTCATATCCATTGCCAATTTCGATCGAAACAACATAGATACCTGGAAATGACGTGTTAAGCCAGCCACCAAGTTCATACATGTCATCAGCTGTTGCTAGAATACCATGCATCAACACTACGGGTCGGTAAACGACTGCATAAGTGGTGCAAGCAAGAAGAGGCACGATAAACAGAAAAAGATTCATTTTTATTCAAATGAAAAATGAAAGAAAAACGAGCTTGTTACAGAAAGTAATAATGAACACCTGTTGATTCCCATATATATTTTTCTCATATAAGCATAGTCGATAGTTATGATACGCTATAGAAGTGGTGGAATCACTCATACATGTGATAATGTTTCTCGACTTAAAACACAAGTAAATTTCGGAATAGATCTGATCATTTTCAGAACTGATCTTCTCTCAAGAGCATATCAATGAGCTCCATGACGTTGAATCGAATCATACAGTTCGAGAGGTATGCGTCTCACCGAAGAACTATTTAATTTCTTATTCGCACTTCTTTTACGTGCTACGTATTGAAATGATAACTCAATGGAAATAGTGAAAATATTATCGATTAAAGCCTATTTTTACTCTTTTCTTTTGAAGTATAATCGATCGAAAAGACTCTACTATACTCAAATGAATAGGCATGATGCCGCCTGTGACTTGTACGCGTGTGATGTCAATAGTGAAACAATAGAACGAGAAAATAATTAGATAACCTTCAAGCACATACTCATGTATGTGTGCTTGACATAATATGGGATGCAGGGTGTGGGTGTGGGTATGAGAAGAAAAACGATTCCCACACCCACACCCACACCCACACCCACGTTCAATATCCAAATTACGACGACATATATCATTGATAGCCTCGGGCAAAAAATTTCAAATATTAATTTCATTTAAAAAAAGATATTTTCTTTTGACATACCATTATCAACCATAAGAGCACAATTAGAGTGTTTGATTTTTTTTTAAAATTTATTCTACTGTGCCATGTTGTACTTGGTTCACAGTTAGAAGAATATAACCAGAAAAAAAAGAGTACGACATATATATCAAATATAATACGTCAACGGTATAAGAAAAAAAAGAAAGCGAGAAAAAAATAACACTACATAAAACACACTACATATAAAAAAAAGATACATCTTGACAACAACAGAATAAGAGCGACATATATTCAAGCAAAAGTGGATCCCGAAATGAGGTAAAAAAATGAGCAACAGTCAATTAGAGTGTTTGATTGTTGTAGGTGTTATTTTTTTTTTTTTTTTTTTTTTTTTTTTTTTTTTTTTTTTTGTGTGAAATTGTTTTATTTAGTTTTTTTGTGGTTGTATTTTTTTATATAAGAAAGAAAATAGTTGAAAGTTAAATGAA